GGCCTTGCCGTCGGCATTGTCATCGTCGCCGCCGGCATCGCTGCAAACATCGCCACGTCTGCGGCCGTCGACGCCGCCGCGAAACCGCGCCCGCCCGAATCGCATACTCGCGCGGGAATGCCCGCGCGCAGGCGCGGCCTGCGAGACGCGCTAGGATACCCCCGGCGGTCAGCGCCGCCGCGGCAGCGTCGGCCGCGCCGGACGAGCCGGCCGCTCAGCGCGCGAGCCCGCGCGCGCTAGCCTGGCCGCAGCGGCGCGCCAGCCAGCGCCAGGCAGTCATCGCAATCGCCGCAGCGTGGGTTTTGAACACCCGCTTGCGGGTGGGCGGGCGGGACGATTGCGCGAGCCGCGGCGTTGGCAACTTCGAATTCAGCAACGTGAATTCCCATTTCAAAAGGAATGTTAAGACCCCCCCGGAACGAATGGCGCCCCTTTTCGTCTTGCCATTTACTTATGATTCTGCCCCATCGCCCATCCTAAGGACGAAGTCGCACCAGCCCGCGCAGGCCGGCGTCGCCCCCCCTCCATCACCAGCAAAAACACAACGCGCGCACCCGTTTATCAAACAACGCCTCTGCCCTCCGCACCCAGCGCGGCGTTTCGTGGCCCAGTGGAGAGCTCCACCGAAAACCCCAATGGCTGTCACCACACGCGTCCTTCCCCATCCAGCACGGCGCCACGCGGCCCTATAGGGAGCTCCACCGAAGGCCCTAGCGGCTGCGACCACATGCGCCCCGCGCCACCCAGCACGCCGCTTCGCGGCCCCTTGGGAAGCCCCACTAAAGGCCCCGATGGCTGTGACCGCATGCGTCCCGCGAAACCAAGCGCGGCGTCTCGCGGCCCCATATGGGGGCGCCACCGAAAGCCCCAGCGGTTGTGGTCACGTGAGTCCCGCGCAACCCAGCACGGCGCCTCGTGACCGCAAAATGAACTCCACCGAAGGCCACAATGGCTGTGACCACATGCGTCCCGCGCCACCAAGCACGGCGTCTCGCGGCCCCATAGGGAGCTCGACCGAAGGCCTCAGCGTCTGCGACCACATGCGCACCGCGCCACACAACACGGCGCTGCGTGGCCCCATGGAGCCCCACCGAAGGCCCGAGTGGTCCTGACCACATGCGCCCCGTGCCACCCAGCGAGGCGCCTCGTGGCCCCATAAGGAGCTCCACCGAAGACCTCATTGGCTGTGACCACGTGCGTCCCGCGCCACCGAGCACAGCTCTTCGTGGCCCTACGGGGTCCCGCCGAAGGCCCCAATGGCTGTTACCTCATGCGCCCCGCGCCACCCAGCGCATCGCTTCGTGGCCCCATACGGAGCCCCACCGAAGGCTCTAATGGCTGTGACCACATGCGTCCCGCACCACCCAGCACGGCGCTTCGTTGCCCTATGAGCAGCTCCACCGAAGGCCCCATCGGGTGTGACCACATGCGTCCCGCGCTACCCAGCGCGGCGCTGCGTGGCTCCAAATTGGCTCCAAACTGAGCCCCAACGAAGACCCCAGTGGCTGTGACCACCTGCGCCCCGCGCAACCCAGCGCGGCGTACGTCGGCCCCATAGGGAACCCCACCGAAAGCCCCAGTGGCTGTGACCACATGCGTCCCGCGCCCCCCAGCACGGCGATTCGTGAACCTAGCGGGCCCCGCCGAAGGGCACAATGGCTGTTACTTCATGCGTCCCGCCCCACCCAGCACGGCACTTCGCGGCCCTATACGGAGCCCCACCGAAGGCCCCAATGGCTGTTACCCCATGCGCCCCGCGCCACCCAACACTGCGCTTCATGGTCCCATCGACATAGGGAGCTTCACCGAAGGCCCCAGTGGCTGTGACCACATGCGCCCCGCGCCACCCAGCACGGCGCTGCGTGGCCGCACATGGAGCTCCATCGAAGGCCCCCGCGGTTGTGACCACACGCGCCCCGCGCCACCCAGCACGGCGGTTCGTGGCCCTAGAGAGGGGCCCGACCGAAGGCCCAGATGGTTGTGACCACACGCGCATCGCGCCGCCCAGTGCGGCGCTTCGCGGCCCCACGGGGAGCTCCACCGAAGGGCCCACTGGCAGGGGCCACATGCGCCCCCGCGCCACCGAGCACGGCGTTCGGCGGCCCCAAAGTGGGCCCCACCGAAAGCCCCAGTGGCTGTGGCCACATGCGCCCCGCGCCACCCAACGCGGCGCTTCGCGGCCCCAAAGTGAGCTCAACAGAAGGCCCCAGTCGCTGTGGCCATATGCGACCAGCGCAACCCGATACAACGCTTCGTGGCCCCAAAGTAGGGTCCACCGAAGGCCCCAGTGGCTGTGACCACATGCGCCTCGCGCCACCCAGCACGGCGCTTCGCGGCCCCGCTGGGGGCCCCGCCGAAGGCCCCAGCGGCAATGATCACGGGCGTCCGCGCCACCCAACACAACGCTTCGTGGCACCGTAGGGAACTCCACCGAAGGCCCCAGTGGCTGTGACCGCATGCGCCCCGCGCCACCGAACACGGCCTTCCGCTGCCCCAAAATGAGTTCCACCGAAAGCCCCAGCGGCTGTGACCACATGCGCCCCGCGCCACCCAACACGGCGCTTCGCGGCCCCAAAGTGGGCCTCACCGAAAGCCCCAGTGGTTGTGGCCACATGCGACCCGCGCATCCCGATACAACGCTTCGTGGCCCCAAAGTGAGGTCCACCGAAGGCCCCAGTGGCTGTGACCACATGCGCCTCGCGCCGCTCAGCACGGCGCTTCGCGGCCCCGCTGGGGGCCCCGCCGAAGGCCCCAGCGGCAGTGATCACAGGCGTCTGCGCCACCCAGCACAAAGTTTCGGGGCCCCACAGGGAATTCCGCCGAAGGCCCCAATGCGGACGTTCGTTGGCGCCCCCCCCTTCCCCCGCACACACCGGCACGCCTCTCACGCGCGCAGTGGCCCCGTAAGGAACCCCACCGAAGGCCCAGCGGCGACGTCGCACGGCGGCCCCGCTCCATGTCTGCGCGCCCCTTCCACGTTTCTTGGCCCCAGATGGGGCGCCAACAAAAGCGCCGATGGCTGCGCCCGCATGCGTCCCCGCCCCATGCCGGCACACCCTTTTACACGCTTCGTGGCCCCACCACCTGCTACCAAACGGGCCTCTCGCGTGCGCATGTCGAAATCGTTCGAGCGCCCCTGTGCGCGTGCTGTCGCAGGAAATCCCCTGCAAATAACGAGACGGAGTGCGCGCGCGCGTCGTCGCGCGCACGCCGCAATCCTCCAAACACCGCTGGTGTCGTCCGGATGTCAAAATCGAGTGTCCCGAAAGCATGTAACGCACTTGGCTTTACAACGCCAGCCTGCAGCAAAAACCTGCATTCGCGGTTTTGCGAATTGCCAAGAAAAAGCATGCGTTTGTTTTAAACGGCTTCATTAAATTCTGCCAAACGGGCCTTGTGCACCGCATGTCGAAATCATTCGAACGCCCTTGCGCGCGTTCTTTGGGGGTGGGGCACGATCCGTGTCAAAAAATACCGTGCAGGCCACTCTCGCGCGTCGGCCGCGCGCGCATGTCATTTCATTACCGACGCGAGGACGCCGTCGTCGTGGTCGGCGTGATTCGCATCGGCGCCGTCACTGGCCTTGCCGTCGTCGTTGTCATCACCGTCACCAGCATCGCTACTATCATTTTCAATTTTCCCTTTTTCGTCGTTGCCATGATGACGCGCCCGCCCAAGTCGCCGACTCGCACTGAAGTGCCCGCTGGGAAGTGCCCCGCGGTCAGCGCCACCACGGGTGCATCGGTCGCGCCGAACTAGCTGGCCGCTGCGCGCGCGAGCATGCGCGGGCTAGCGCGGCCGCAAAGATGCATCAGCCAACACTAAGCACTCATCGCAATCGCCGCCGCATGGGCTTATGCCAAACGAGTTGCGGGTGGGTGGATTGGGATGACTGCGCGAGCAGTGCAGTTGAACACGTACTGCGAACAGAAATAAATTGCACCACATAGATTGGCCCGCAAAAGTTGCACGACATATATTGCGATGGACACATTGTTTGGGATACACGCTGGCTAGCACTCTTATACAAATAAGATAACCACGAGATAACCGCGGGGCAACCATCCAAAGCATCGAAACAACCAACAAAACAACCACGGGGCAAACCACTGGACAACCCCGCGACAACTACGGGACGACAATCGGGACAACCGCGGGATAACCACATGACGACATGACAACCACGCGACAACTACGGGACAACCACCGGGACAACCGCGACAACCACAGGACAACCACGGGACACAACCACAGGACAGATCAGGGAAGAACCCCAGAGCAACCAAGTGACAACCACGGGACAACAGCGCGAGTTCCACGTAACGGGGCAACCACTGGAATAACAACAGAACAACACAAGGGACAACCACGGGACAACAACGCGGCAACCATGGGACAAAGATGGGACAACCACAAGGGAACCATGGGACAAACACAGACAATCACGCGATGAACATAAGACACCCATCGAGACAATCACAAACCAATCTTGGGACAACCGCAGGGCAACTACCAAACAACCACCAGACAACCACAGAACAATCACGAGACAACCAAAGGACAACCACAAAACACCGCAGGAAAACCACGAGACAAACACAACACAACCACAAAAACATCACTTGACAACCGCGGAACAACCATCGGGTCAACCACAAGACAACCGCGACACAACCCCGGGCGCGCTCTGGGAACCATCGGGGCCACAGGACAGCCGCGGGACAACCCAGGCACGCCCCGGAGGGCTGGTCCTCGACTCATTGTGTCAGGACCTGCACCCAGCTCGCGCAAGAACTCGCACAACTTCGCCTCGCCCGCAAACACGCCACGCACGACACGAACCGAAACCGAAACCAACTTCCTGGCTGGGGGACTCCGTGTCACTTCGGCTTCACACCCGCGAGTTCCCATGGTCCTGTGGGCACTCGACATGTTCGTGCTTTCGGTTTGCCTTTCACTTTGCCGCTCACCTGCAGCGCCACAAAGTGTCATTGTTGTTCGCTCGCTGTTTTTCTGAGTGAGCCTTCAGACGCAGTGGGCATGAGTCCAATGTATGGCTAGGGGAAGAATGGGGGGGAGGAGGAAAAGGAGGAGAACGAGAAAGACGAAAAGGAGAGGGAGGGGGCGCTGGACAGGAATGTAGAGATAGAGGACGCAGCGGCGGTTGCGTCTTTCTATGTCTGGGCGGCTGCGCCCGATAGTAGTCGTCCCCAGCCCCAGGACGAGGATGATGAAGAGGAGTGCCCGGAAGACGCGCATCAGCGCCTCCCATGGCGCGGGTGCCGCCGCCCAATCGTCACGATCGGCCAGCTCAGAGCACCGCGGCCTTGCGAGGAAAGAAATTCATCCAGTGCTTCTGCTCGACCTCGGTGGTGCTCCGGATGCCGCCCGTGAAGCCGCCGAAGGAGCAGGGCCGCATCTGCGAGTCGCCAAAGCGTACCCGCAGCGTCCGCCAGCGCGACTGGCTGGGGAAGTGGACGAAAGTGACCGTCGCGGTAGCGAGCACGCCGTCCCTGTCGTGCTCCAGGGCGTCCAGGCGGCCGTACCACCACCCGAACGGGCTGCCCTCCTGCATCTTCCACTGCAGCTCGATCCCGGCGCCCGGCCGCAGGCCCTCGGACCTGGAGGAATAGAACACGGCATCAACACATGAAATGTTCGGAGCTCCGCGCGGACCCCTTGGACCTGCACGGAAGCCCCCTCCCTGGCGCCCTGGAGCGCGCCAGGGGAGCTCAGCTCCGATCCAAGAGAGCCGCGCGGAGCTCCGACGATTCAGGTCTGTGCCATTGTGCCTTCTTCGAGCACCCCTCCAGCACGCGGTCCAGGTAAAGGCCGGCCGTCGGGCCTTGGGCGTTCCTCCTCCTCCTCCTCCTCCTCCTCCTCCTCCTCCTCCTGCTCCTCCTCCTCCTCCTCCTGCTCCTCCTGCTCCTCCTCCTCCTCCTCCTCCTCCTCCTTCCTCTCCTCCTCCTCCTCCTCCTCCTCCTCCTCCTGCTCCCTCTCCTCCTCCTGCTCCACCTCCTCCTGGGCGACAGGCGTGTGGCGAGGGGGGAGAAAGGCACCCTTTTCGGGTCCTCAAGGCCCCCTGCAGGGGCCCCAAAGGGCTTTCTGTGAACCCCGAAATGGCTCCTTTAGGAGCCCTGCGCGGCCCCGTTTCTGCGGCCCTCGCTGCCCCCCCCACCCCCCCCCTTGATCGCCCCCCATTACGCGCCCCCCAAGGGGAGGGAGGGAGGGCGAGCACGACCGATCGCAACCACTTCGGGCCGATCGTAAGCCACTTCGGACCGATCGCAACCAGTTGCGATCGGCCCGAAGTGTTTGCGATGTTTTTGGGTCGTTACACTAAGGTTTTGATCAAGGAAGTGATCATAAGAGCGCTTCTGGGTTCAATGAGTTCGGTGAAGCCGCCCAATGGGAATCTGAAAAAGTGGTTGCGATCGGTCCGATCACAGACGGCGGATCATGATCTCAGCAAAACACATGTTTTGGAGCTCGAACGTGGCCATGATCCGTATACGATTCCTATGCGGGTCGTATACGGTTGCAACCGAAACTGAACGAAAACGCGTGGCGTGAAACAAATTGCATCTCAGGAGGGGAGGAGGAGGAGGAGGAGGAGGAGGAGGAGGAGGAGGAGGAGGAGGAGAGCAGGAGGAGGAGAGGGAGCAGAGGAGGAGGAGGAGAGGAGGAGAGAGGAGGAGGAGCAGGAGGAGGAGGAGGAGGAGAGGAGAAGGAGGGGGAGGAGGAGGGAAGAGGAGGAGAAGGAGGAGGGAGGAGGAGGGAGGAGGAGGAGGAGGAGGGAGAGGAGGAGGAGGAGGAGGAGGAGGAGGAGAGGAGAGGAGGAGAGGAGAGGAGGAGAGGAGGAAGGGAGGAGGAGGGAGGGAGGGAGGAGAAGGAGGCGGAGGAGGAGGGGGGGGAGGAAGGGAGAAGGAGGAGGGGCGGGAGGAAGGACAGGAGCAGGATGAGCAGGATGGGCAGGAGCAGGAGGAGGAGGAGGAGGAGGAGGAGGAAGAGGAGGAGGAGGAGGAGGAGGAGGAGGAGGAAGAGGAGGAGGGGGGAGAAACGGAGAGGACAGGATGGCAAGGCGGGTAGACGCGGCGGGACTTTTCCAAGACGTCGACCCCCAGTGGTCTGGACGAATTCCCCTACGGTAGATTCGTGCGGCGTCGGCACACGCAAGGCTTTTGGCACCGCGTGAATCGTTCAACCTTGAAGCGATCGCGGCCCCGATCGTTCAATGTTGAATTTCGTCGGGTACAGTGGGCACAACGTGTTCCTCGGTGCTTCCGCGTCGCAAAATGCAGCCTTGAACGCCTTCGCCAACGTCGCCGGCGCGCTAACGCCGTATGAACCTACAGTAGACCAGCCAGCATTGCATACTGAGTCATTTTTGGACGGCCCCTGGGCCCGGCGATGGCCCCCCGAGCCCGAAACAAAAAACGTATGTTGTCACGACGCCAGGCGGTCTGGGCCTGTGGTGGTTGTGGGAACCATGGCTGGGGGACACGTGCGCCCTGCGCGGCCTGCGAGACCTTTGGCGCCCGTGCGAAACGCAGGACCTGTAGGACCTGTGGGGCCTGCAGGGCAGGCTTCTCAGAAGCCTCTAAGAAGCCTCCAGAAGCCTCTCAGAAGCCTCGCAGAAGCCTCTCCGAAGCCTCTCAGAAGCCTCTCAGAAGCCTCTCAGAAGCCTCTCAGAAGCCTCTCAGAAGCCTCGCAGAAGCCTCCAAGAAGCCTCGCAGAAGCCTCTCACAAGCCTCGCAGAAGCCTCTCAGAAGCCTCGCAGAAGCCTCGCAGGAGCCTCTCAGAAGCCTCTCAAAAGTCTCGCAGAAGCCTCGCAGACGCCTCTCCGAAGCCTCTCAGAAGCCTCCCACAAGCCTCTCAGAAGCCTCCCGCAAGCCTCTCAAAAGCCTCCCACAAGCCTCTCCAGAAGCCTCCCACAAGCCTCCCACAAGCCTCTCAGAAGCCTCCCACAAGCCTCGCAGAGACCTCAGAGAAGCCTGTCAGAGGCCTCAGAGAAGCCTCTCAGTGGCCTCAAAGAAGCCTCTCAAAGGCTTCAGAGAAGCCTTTCAGAGGCCTCAGAGAGGCCTTTCAGAGGCCTCAGAGAAGCCTTTCAGAGGCCTCAGCGGGAGCTCTTGGATCGGTTGCACTCCGGTGTTCTCGTGACAGCTCTCTATAGGAATCTTTTAGGTTGCGATCAGTCCGTTCCCAGTGGTTGCAATCCGACCGAAGTAGTTCCTGAACGGTCCGAAGTGGTTGTGATCGGTCTTATTCCCGGGAGGGAGGGAGGGAGGGAGGAGGGGGGAGGGAGGGAGGGAGGGGGGGAGGGAGAGATGGGGGAGGGAGGGAGGGGGGAGGGAGGGGAGGGAGGGGAGGGAGGGAGGGACAGATGGGGGAGGGAGAGAGGGGGGAGGGAGGCGAGGGAGGCAGAGAGGGACAGAGGGAGGGGGGGGGAGGGAGGGAGGGAGGGAGGGTCGCCCGAGTCCGGGCCGTGCGGGTCGCCCGGGTCCGGCGGCGGGCCCGGGCGCAGCGCGTCGCGCACCGCGGGCGGGCAGCAGCGGAGGCGGTGCTCCTCCCGCTTCGGGATGTGCTCGGGAGGCACCTTGATGGGCGTGTTTTCCACCACCACCACCATAAGTTGGAGGGGGGAGGAGGAGGAGGAGGACGAGGAGAAGGAGGACGAAGAAGAGGAGGAGGAGGACCCCCTCCCCCTCCAACTTATGGTGGTGGTGGTGGAAAACAGGCCAATCACACCTCGCAGGCGCTGAGGTACCTGGCCACGTAGGAGCGGCTGCTCGCCTCGAAGGTGACCCTGGCTCCCATGGCGGCCATCGCGAAGCCCAACTTCTTCTCGCGGTCGAAGATCTCGAGGACCGCTTCCGTCTTGCCGGCGAGGGTGTCCTCGTAGAGCCCGTCCCACCGCTGGAGCCCCTGGTAGTGGAGGAAGTCGTGGAATGCGGGCCACCTCTGCTTGTAGAGGCTGCCCCACAAGTCGTTGCGCGCGGGCGTCAGCTCAGCTGCCACGCTCTTTGATGTCTGCGTTGTAAGTGCAACCAGCTCCTCGGGCGAGCTGCACGCGAAGCCGGCGATGTTGAACAACACTGGCTGGAAGGCGCTGGCGATGAGGTTGAAATCGGCTTCGTGCTCGCCTGTCTGCGGAGAGGGGCAGGTGGTAGCGGGGAGCCACTTGCGCAAGCACTGCGGCACACCACGCGACGTGTAGACGAAAGCGTGGACGCTGAGCTCCCGAGCCTTCCCCAGCACTGCCCGCATGGCTGCCAGAGCGAACGAACCACATTTCTCTAACTGTTCGTCGCACCATTGGCGCGCCATGTCGACCCTCGCTGCGCTCGTGGCATCGATGAGCTCTAAGGCCCATGATACGGGCGCCTCGGCAAGTCCAGGGAGCGCACACAGCAGTGCGCGCCAGCAGCGACTGGCATACCAAAGGCGCACCAGCACACCACGCCTATCCGCCTGCTTCGAGCTAGCATCCTCGAGGTGATCCTTGATGTGCGTCATACCCGCCATCGTGGAAGCAGCTATATGGAGGTTTGTTGTTTGAATTGTATCACTAACGAATGCTTTAGAACGTATTGATTCACCGAGGGGTTTCGGCGTTGAAGTATGAGCAGGCTGCTATTCAGCCCGATTTGCTTGAGCCAAACCTGCGACTGGTGATGCGAATGATAATAAGAACGATGGGATGCGTAGCCGTGCAGACCGAAGCAATCACTGACCAAACTGTGTCGGCTCAAGCCATGCTTCGGCGGCGAGCGAGGGGGGGGAAGTGAGAAGGGGCTGGCCTTCTCAGAAGACTCGGAAGTCCCCTTGCCTTCTGAGAAGTGTTCAACGCCTTCCCTGGAGACACAGGAAACCTCTCAGAAGGCGCGATGGCTTCTGAGAAGTCCAGCCGCCTTCTGAGAAGGCCCTCTCCTTCTCTCTCCCCCCCCCTCGCTCGCAGCCGAATGTTGGTGCAATCATGCCTCGGGTCCACCTGCTGGGTACACCCTGCGAGATGCTTAAGAAATCATGGGTCAAGAAACTCATGGTCCCAGAATTTGAAGAAAAAAACAAAGTTCTACCAAAAAGTTCGGTTTGTTTCCATTGAAGCAATAAGAATAAGCGAGATTCTGGCCGAACACTTAAGTCTTCTTAGGCATCGCCTAAGGTGTACCACCGAGACCTCCGTCGACTCGCATGCCCGAGCCGCCAGCAGCTGGAGCTCCCGGCCTCTCGGCCCCCTTTCCGAGAGCGGACCCTCCATCCCAAACCTTTGCTGTCGTTCCTCGAGTAGGGGATCGACTGCAAATTTGCTCGGGAGACTCTCCATGGGGGGGGATCCCATGGGGGGGCAGGAGGGGATCCCCCCCATGGGATCCCTTCCTGCCCCCCCCATGGGATCCCCAGGGGATCCTATGGGATCCCCCCCCCTGGAATCCTATCCCCCCATGGGTTCCCCCCCCATGAAGAGTCTCCCGATTTGCTGTACCCCGAAAACGTTTTTTTTCCGGCCGAATCCGTGACCCTTGTCAGACAAACTGCCCCCGGGCGCAGAGAGTGGCGGAGCACCTCCAGCGCTTCGCTTCTTCACAGATTGGCCGCCACGGGCGCGGCGCTGCTTCACGGATTGGCCGCCAGAGCTTGTCATGTGGCTGCTTATCGCGGGAGGAGCCACGATGTGGCGATCACGGACTTCCGAGCCACAGCCCGTGGTACCGAGAATGATGAGTCAGGGGAAATGTGGCCAGAGCTACCATTCGCAACTAATGAGTTGAGCCCCTTATCCAGCGACCAGCGTCTATGCTCACGCCAGGAGCCCATAACAAGTAATCCATCAGAATGGGCGTGCGAGGCGTGTCAGCAGATCATCACGATAATCAAGCTCACAACGCAAAACAGGCAGCCGCGTCGGAGCTACATGGCGACCACAAGAAATGCTAGACTCCTACTTCGTACCATTTTCAATCCATAAACTTCCCACGCCCACCCACTCCCGTCCCCATCCTGTCCCATCCTCATCGTCCTCCTCTTCCTGCTTATCCCTCGATGCTCTGTGTGTAGTATCAAGCGGCGGTTGTTCGTAACAATTGCATGTGTTCGCGTTGCTGCAATAGACGTCCCTACATGAGGCAGCGCGTCTGCACTGGCCAGAACTGTTTTTTTTCCAGCCGCTTCCAATTTTCCTGCACCGATGGCGATGATGGGGAGCATTGGAGGGAGGCTTTCCAGCTAGAGCTCGCAAGTAGGATCGCGACCTCATGTCTGAGGTCAAAGGGTGAACGTGCGCTTAAAAAAGGTTTGCCCTTACACATCGTGCAGAACATATGACCAGTGTTTAGGCTATGTCGTGGCGGCGGCGATGGAGCGTAAACGACCAATGCCATCTGCCCCTTTCACACTAACTGCGAGCACAGCACACTTGTGAAGTCCTTGTCCGCGTCGAATTGCGACATGATCTCCTCGGCGACCTGCTTGCAGACGTCCGCCGAAAATGCGTCTCGGCGCGGCTTGATGGCGAAGGTGGGAGGAGAGCCCCATGGCGTGCGAGGGGCAGGGTGAGATGCCACCAAACGCCACAGGGGAAACGAGGCACGCACAGATGATAAAAGGAAGGGAGACGAGGAAAAACATCTTCTTGTGGCAGACACGATGTCCGCTTCTCATGGTCGTTCGCTCTTGCATCCCGCTCTCCACATCCTTAGTGCTCAGCGCTGGCCGGGCGCTCCTTCGCTGCACGCTGTGGGGCACCATCCTCGTGGCTGTACGCAGAGCTCGAGGGAGAACAGAAGAGAAAGGAGGAACGGTGAACGGGGGGGAAGCAAGAGGAAAGAGGAGAGGAAACCGTTCTAGACCGAGAAAGGGGGACGGGACGCCATACATGCGGGGCGATCCCTGTGAACTGCGCAGTCGTGCTCATGTTCCCTCAGACCTGTGCGAATAATAACGGCCAAAACGACAAATTTGGCAAACTTCTGAACTGAATATCGCCACCTATGTTATCATCGAGCTGAGTGCCGTCACAGCCTCGCTAACGACACACCAGCTATGCTGTTACGTAACTCGCGGTGCTCGCCTGCAAACCTTCCTGCGCAATAGTTCTTTGTTGTTTGCTCAGGGTATGTTCTTCGGAGAGAGGGAGGACAAGCCGAAAGGGGCAGGCGCGACGATCATCCTGCCGATCCACTCATCACTCTGTCCACCGCGGGCTTCGGGAATTGAACATGGAGCGAAACGTTCTGACCACTAAAAAGAATCAATGCCACAGGGGCGAGGAGAACGAGGAGCAGGGGGGAACGGCAACGGCGGTGTGTGTGTGTGTATTATGGCGCGGGGTGTCCCGCTTCTGAGGGTTCGGCGCGCGCGGGGCTACGCGTGGTGGCGCATGGCTTGCTACGCATTGCCGCTGTGCGCGAGACCGCGACCACCAAAAAGTGTGTGTGTGTGTGTGGGTGTGTGTATTCCAGGTGGTCAACATGACATATCATAGAATCACGCCTCGCACCACGACACAACTTACTGGCAAGTCTGTTTCGAACGCGCATCGGTCGAGAAGCAGTAGCTACTCCCGTGTGGGATCCGAGCATGCCGCCAAGGCCCGTCAAAATGGGACCTTCCGGCAAACAACCAACCTGACATTTCACACATGGACCCACAAGAACCCCGAACCCGCTACAAACAGTCACGAGTACCTCCAACATGCCACGTGGAGGACGGAGAGCAACAAGAAGAAGGGCCTTTCACGTCTGCGACATCGAGTAGCTGCTGGATATCCGCGACTTCCACATACCCAGAGTTGTCGATGTCGAACGCCTCTCGGATCTGCTTACTTCCCCAGCCTCGCCACGATCGGCACTTTCTTTTGCACATCATCCTGCTCCTCCCCCATTCCTCCTCATCCCTGTCCGCATGCTTCTCCTCGACCTCATCCGACTTCCGCTCAACTCCCCCCGTCATGCTCCTCCTATCCATCCTTTGCGGCCTCTTGAGCAGACTGGGAGCAATCGCCTTCGTCAGCCGACGAAACACACGCGGCACAGCTGAAGGGTACAACTTCTGGACGGGTTGGGACAAGGTCTCCTTGCGGTCTCAAGCCTGCCCACACTTTGGCAAACTATCGGGTTCGCCCGCGGGAATTTGGAAATCCACACCGCCCCCCTCAATGGCAAATGAACCAGGCCATTTGAGGACTGTGCCCCCCTGTCTGGTGCAGATCAGGAAGTAGGCTGCGGGGGATGCCATGGTGCGTGTGTGTGCGTGTGCGTGTGCATGTGCGTATGCGTGTTCGTGTGCGTGTGCGTGTGCGTGTGCGTGTGCGTGTGCGTGTGCGTGTGCGTGTGCGTGTGCGTGTGCGTGTGCGCGTGCGCGTGCGCGTGCGCGTGCGAGTGCGCGTGCGCGTGCGCGTGCGCGTGCGCGTGCGCGTGCGCGTGCGCGTGTGCGCGTGCGCGTGCGCGTGCGTGTGCGCGTGCGCGTGCGCGTGTGCGTGTGTGTGCGTGTGCGTGTGCGTGTGCGTGTGCGTGTGCGTGTGCTGTGCGTGTTGTGTGCGTTGTGTGTGTTTGTGTGTGTGTTTGTGTGTGTGTGTGTTTGTGTGTGTGGTGTGTGTGTGCGCGTGTGGCAAACTATCGTGTTCGCCCGCGGGAATTTTGGAAATGCCACCCGCCCCCCTCAATGGCAAATGAACCAGGCCATTTGAGGACTGTGGGCCCCCCTGTCTGGTGCAGATCAGGAAGTAGGCTGCGGGGGATGCCATGGTGCGTGTGTGTGGTGTGCGTGTCATGTGCTTATGCTTGTTCGTGTGGCGTGTTGGCGTGTGCGTGTGCGGTGTGCGTGTGCGTGTGGCGTGTGGTGTGCGTGTGCGTGTGCGTTGCGCGTAGCGCGTCGCGTGCGACTTGCCGGCGCGTGCGCGTGTGCGCGTGCGCGTTGCGCGTGCGCGTGCGCGTGCGCGTGCGCGTGCGCGTGTGCGTGTGCGTGTGCGTGTGCGTGTGCGTGTGCGTGTGCGTGTGCGTGTGTCTGTGTGTGTTTGTGTGTGTTTGTGTGTGTTTGTGTGTGTGTTTGTGTGTGTGTGTGGTGTGTGTGTGCGTGTGTGTGTGCGTGTGCGTGTGTGCGCGCGTGCGTGCGTGCGTGCGTGCGCGTGTGCGTGTGTGCGCGTGTGCGTGTGTGTGTACGTGCGTGCGTGCGTGCGTGCGTGCGTGCGTGCGTGCGTGTGTGGGTGTGGGTGTGGTGTTGTGTGTAGGTGTTGGTGGTGGTGTTGGTGTGTGTGTGTGTGCGTGCGTGCATGCGTGCGCGCGTGTGTTTAAGCATGGGCGCGACGGAGCAGCGATACGCAGTGAAGGTCTTGTCCTGCGCAAGAGCGGGAGGTGCACTGATCCTGGCCCACGCGGCGAAGCGCGTGCGCCGTGCTCGCCTGGCCAAGGCGCGCGAGGCTGCGGCCTCCCAGGTGAGCCGCAGCCCAATATCGGGAGGACGACGGGGGCGGCGTCGACGAACAGTGAGGGACAACGCAGCGATGTGCAAATTGAGATACGTGCACGCCTGACGAGGCTGGCCAGATGTCGACGCCTTCCATTGCATACACACGGAGTTCGGCCGAACCACAGGCAGAGAGACCAGCCAGGCAGAACTCATGAAACAAGTGGCTGGCTGCGCGCGTCGGTCACGAGTCTCACGCTGTCCAGA